TCAGACAACAAAAAGAAATAAAAGGTATTCAAATTGGCAAAGAAGAAGTCAAACTCTCCCTCTTCACAGATGACATGATACTTTATGTGGAAAATCCGAAAGGTTCCATCCCCAAATTACTAGAACTCATACAGCAATTCAGTAATGTGGCAGGATACAAAATCAATGCACAGAAATCAGTTGCTTTCTTATACACTAGCTCTATGTATAATTAATGCTAAATGAAAAAATCAGGTACAAAGCTCCACATATATAGTACATAAATTTGGTTACATATATGCATGATGTAGACGTAGCACTCTTTCTCCCTCCTTTTCTCTTTTACCAAAATGTTAATAGTGTTTATCTGAGTTAGGAGATTATTGGAGATTTGGGGTTTTGTTTATGTACGTTCTAGTTTTTGTTGTACTACTTTTAACTGAATATATATTAATGTTATACTGACAAAAAAAGGTTAAGAAAACCAGACTTATAACAAATGATAAAATGGTGAAATATAAAGGGAATAATTAATTAATTATTGGTTTATTTTTATTTGCTAAGTAATTTATGAATACATTCTCAGTATGGAATGCCACGTAGAAGTCTTTAAAGGAAAACGTGGAAGCTTTTCTCTTAGCCACTCTCGTCTACAAAGGAAACTCTGGATAGTTTGGTGACTACCTTTCCAATTTTTTTTTATTATGTTCAGTTAGCCACTGTATAGTACATAATTAGTTTTTGATGTAGTGTTCAGTGATTCATTAGTTAAGTATAACACCCAGTGCTCATCACAACACGTACCCTCCTCAATACCCATCACCCTGTTACCCCCTCCCCCTCTCCCCTCTGAAATCCCCAGATTGTTTCTCGGGATCCATAGTCTCTCATGGTTCATCTTCCTCTCTGATTTCTCCCCCTTTGGATTTCCTTCCCTTCCCCTATGGTCCTCTGTGCTATTGCTTATGTTCCACATATGAGTGAAACCATATGATAATTGACTTTCTCTGCTTGACTTACTTCACTTAACATAATCCCCTCCAGCTCCATCTGTGTCGATGCAAATGGTAGGTATTCATCGTTTTTGATGGCTGAATAATATTCCATTGTGTATATGTACCACAACTTCTTTATCCATTAATCTGTTGAAGGGCATCTCAGCTCCTTCCACAGTTTGGCTATTGTGGACATTGCTGCTATGAACACTGGGGTGCACATGCCCCTTCTTTTCACTACGTCTGTATCTTTGTGCAATTTTTGCACAAAGTGCAAATTTTTGGGTCATAGGGTAGCTCTATTCTTAACATTTTGAGGAACCTCCATACTGTTTTCCAAAGTGGCTGTACCAGCTTGCATTCCCACCAACAGTGTAAGAGGGTTCCCCTTTCTCCACATCCTCACCAACATTTGTTGTTTCCTGTTTTGTTAATTTTTGCCATTCTAACTGG